TGAACAATTCATAACCAGAGCCTTCCGCTAGCAAAAGCCTGACACGCAAGGTGGTGGGGCGTTGTGTGAAAACCGCAACCCATTGTGGGCTAGTGTTCACTTTATCGGATCATTCACTCTTCGGACGGGGCGGAGCGTAGAAGGTGCCCACTACATCTGGATGCTAAATAAAGCCAGTGACAAATACCACAACCAGGAAGGTGTTGTTGTGCGTAGTTCTTACATCTATTCTTGGTTGATTGGGAATCAGGGATTTTAGCCAACTCCTGAGGTAAACGGTGAGGGGTTCACCGACTCGCAAGTTGGTTTTTCATCATCTTACTTTGGTGGGAAACCATTGCAATGAGAATGCAGTGAGTACGGTCTTATAGGAGAATTTGGCGGGATGCATTGGAAAGGTCCCCAACCACAATCAAAGGCACCCACCCTCGACCGTACTGAGGCTTTCAGAGGCATGATTTTGTGTTCACTTTCGTGAGTATGTAATAATTGAAGTACTACAGATCACGGATTACGAACCACGTATTAGGAATCAAGGACTCCACGGAAGCACTGAATCACACTGGCACTTGCACGACGGTATTCCACGTGGCGAGACGCAAGATAATGACAGCAGAAGTAGCAGTTGGTTTATTGGAATAACTCAGGGTGGGGCGGGTAAATAACGTGTAAAAACGAAGTTTATTGGTAATCCAAGTCTCTATTAATCACGTACTCGTAATCTTGACGTCGTACAACTTCTGTCTGGACCGCACGGCTCCTGATTGGTCGGCATAATCGGCTTGTGGTTCGTTGCCCAGAAGCTGTAACACGTAAGAGCTTTGCCGGCCTCAACTGGGAAGCTTGACTCATCANACTCATCACAGTTTTCCAGTAACTGTAATGTGTCTCCCCGTGGTTTGCGTCATGCCGTATGCTAGGATTTCCACAGAGTCACAAGCGTTTAACCTGAAGAAAATCCTTTATCAGTGCTTTTGTATTAAGTAGTGCATGAATGACTGGATAAAATTTTCCTCAAGCACACGGCCGGTTTTTCAGCTGCTATTTATTATGGATACAGTTACAATCATTTATACTGCCTGTAAATCATCTTAGAAATGTAAACCTTGTTTATGTGTTTTCCGAAGTCGATCGTAAACAAAGCAACTACCGTCTTTTATGTTCATGAAGGAATCAAACACTTTACCGGTATTGGAGGAGTAGTTGAGGATCTGATCGTGTTATACGATGAATTCCTTTCGATAGGGAGCAACGGAAACGTGAACTGAAACTCGAATAATCTGTAAAACTGTTTCGACTTTGTCGGGCCTCATCAGCAGTGCGAAGACATTGGCCCAGATTAGAAGCAAACACGTGACCTGCTATAGAAAACTCAAGTATACTTACCCAGGTAGGCGGTGAAGCCAAAACGAGTGAGTGTCATATTCGAAGGGTAAGATTACGGAATAGATCTCACGGTAGTGTTCATATGGGAGGGAGTAACTGACCGAAGACCGCGGATTCATTGATACCATAATACCACGCTCCATCTGAGCTTTTGTTCTATTCATATTGAGCCATGGATTCCATTGCTCACCATAGACTTAAGAGCGTCTTTTTATCAACCAAGCTGAGGATACAATGCAAAAATTGAAAATAGTTTTGTGACAGTATATATTTCATCCTTCCCATCTACCACGATACCAGTCTCCCTGTAATCTTGTTAAGAAAACGATGTAGTAAAATTTCCTATCAGTTTATCAGTGATAATCACATGCATATTGGTCTAGGGTTTCACCCACGCGGTGGAAGCAAATCAAACCCACGCGTTGGTCGGACAATCTGGTTGCGGCAAATCAACTGTCTTACAATTATTACTTCGTTTCTACGACCCCGCAAACGCTTACGATGGTTCCGGCGGTATTTTTCTGAATGGGCACAACACAGTTGATCTCTCCCCGTCGTGGATTCGACAACAAATCGGATTGGTTTCACAAGAACCGAATCTGTTCAACATTTCTATTCGTGACAATATTGCTTTCGGGGTGAACTCTCGTGAGCCGTCCATGGAAGAAATCATAGAGGCCGCGAAACAGGCGAACATTCATGACTTCATCATGACGTTGCCTGAGGTGAGCCATTCCATCAAATAATCCAGCGTTATTAAACGTATCTCCCATATTCGTCTACAGGGATGCAGAAACAAATAGTTAATTACGAAGCATAAGAAAACATTCAAAATCCTGTTTAAACTAATGTCTCGAACAGCTGGCTACTTTAGAACCCTGGTTTTGAATTAGCTCACTCGGTTACCACGGCTCCAAGCAACAGATATAATCTCCTTAAATTTAGGGATTTACGTTTTACTCAGTCATGTTTTGTCTTTTCCCCCGTGGGAAACATTTCATGAGTGATCAAATAATATGGTTTGTTTCTTAACAACAAAACCCAGAAGTTGTTTCGTCCTGGTTGGGACTTGTGAGTGGTGTGAATCGGCTTTGTTCGGCCAGGATTTTCGCTCCTGGTTCGAAGGTTTTTCATTGGAGCCCCGAAAGATAGATAAATATAATGTACAGTGCTGTGGAGTACTGACAAGAACAAAAAAACTGCCGAGTAATTCATTTTCAGTTCTTACAGAAGAATTTAATCGAAAGTGAAAATCATGCCAATTCATTTGCGATCAGTTATGCAGAATTTAGCAAAAACATAAATCACATTTTGCGGGGAGTTTTATCTTAGAATTCTTAGCGCGGACATATAAATGAATGTCGGTTATGCAGGAATAAAGATCCACATTAAGTTCGAACACTAATAAAGGAATTGAGTATAGTATGACATATTCTAATCAAAATTGTGAGATAGAAACCCGCAAATTACTTTCTGACCAGTTGCTTTTAATTTAGTGCATCCTTTGTGCCGTTAACAAGTGATCGGGATCCTCAAATCCTTTGTCCGATCATAACGCGGTCTCTCTTTTTTTTATTAGGATGTGCACGTGATCCAGTCTCTTCTACTAGCTACTCTCAGTCTACCGGCATCGGGAAATTCTTTGACTTGTTTTGAATGGACTTGGTCAGTAATACTCATGGATGAAACTTACTGTCTATGTTGATCTTCACTGGATAAAATAAGTGAATTCGGTCATGCTTCCGGTTAGTTATCACTGTTCATGGATTCTTCTAGAAAAGTTTGTTACATTTTTACCATTTTCGTGTTTCAGACAGTCCTTGCAGTTCACCCTGTGGTTTACGTTGCTAGTTTTTCCTCTATTGTTTTCACCTTCCATTTCAAAGGAATTCTCCGTAAGCAGGAGTGTTTTAACCAGGGAAGGATTCGTGTTTGTGAACGAACAGGAGTAGAACATTATCATTCCACAGGTACTATAACTGCGGTTTGTGCTGAAGCGTTTACAAACAGATTGTCAAACTCAATGTGCAAGCGAAAGCGAAATAAACGATACACTGTTTTATTACTGTACACCCCTTCGAGGTGATTCCGAATGGGTTTGCCAAAGTCGTTCTCAAAATGATGCATCGTGCTGCTCTCATGACTGGAATAGGGTTTGAGTGGACGATAACAGCGTTTGCATAAAAACGATTCAAGCTACTACTCTTCCGATTGCGAAAAATACCTGACTGCCAATGTCTGTATCAAGAGGTTTTAGCTTATCCGGCATTTTAAATAGCGGCATCTGTATAAAGGCTACTCAAATTCTCCTTTACTAGAGATACAATACACCTGTTGGAGAACGAGGCTCACAACTGTCCGGTGGTCAGAAGCAGCGTGTGGCCATTGCCAGAGCTTTAATCAGAAAACCTCAGTTGCTTCTGCTGGATGAGGCCACCTCAGCGTTGGACAATGAGAGCGAGCGTGTGGTTCAGGCCGCGCTGGACGAGGCAATGGGCCAACGGACGAGTTTGATGATTGCGCATCGATTAACAACGGTCGAACGCGCGGACCAGATAGTAGTCCTCGAGAAAGGTCGTTTACGTGAAAAGGGAACCGTGAGCGAATTAATGGCGGCCAAACAAGCGTATTATGCTTTGCATGCAATGGAGAGTTGAATGAACATTCCATCCGTGTGTAATCATCAGTCTGCTCTCATGACCTGAACAACCGAATTTTCATCTCTTTTTTTTCTATCTTCCATATACAAACACAGTCCACAAGTGAACAAAACTATGATAGAAATACAAGAATGGCATTTACCAAACACGAATGAATTTTGGTTCACATCAGTCGCTCTTACTGGGTGGCATTCGTTTTCGACTCTTTTTACAACAGTTTTCCAAATTTGACTTACTACCTCTACTGGCGGAATTGTTTTGCTGGATAGCCCAGCTCTGTCTCATACACTGGAAACCAGTTCAACTACAGTTGTGGTGACGCAAATATAGGTAATACCTAGCTTCAGTTATCACAACAAATGGCCGAAAACACATTTCAGGGTGGTCAAGCTACTCGATGACGTAACCCACAGATCATATTCAGACGGTTACAAGGATCCGGGATTTATGTATTGCAAAGTACCTCATGGCGACCGCACATGTAAGGGATCCTGCCTGGTCTGCCAAGAAACTATCGCTTAACCGTAATGAGAATGTTTTCGCAATTAGACAGGTCTTGTTAACCAGATTACATTATTCCGTTTCATGTAACCTAAATTCATTGACGCGTCAAGTTTCATTACCATGGTGTTGTCCATTTTTCCTTATTCTGGCTATCCTTGTCTATCTGGACATGTTCGTTCAATAGTGTTTACCAACACATATTGCTATATGTGTGCCTACCGGTTTTACGTCAGTCCCGGGACACTATTTGCACAACTTTTTGATTAATAACCGGAATTAAAAGCAATGTATCACCCAAATTCCAAATCGTCTGTAAGCAGGAGTATACTGAAATGAAATGTTTTTTACTTCCTTTTTCTATTTATTCAAGATACAAATGTACAGTCAACTTTCAGGAAGGGGGCTGCTGCCATACACAGGCTGCCTGGGGAAAATATAGATATAGGGAAGACGGTGGAGGTGTTGCGCACCTAACTCGAGAATTCCACTCTGATCGCGATATCCCACAAATTTTGCTTCTTTATTCTGATTACATAACTCAGCGCACCCAGTGTACAAATAAGAATGCTTGCGGATCAGATATCACCATCGTGTTCACAATCAGCTACCGGAATACCGCAATTACGGGATGCAGGAATGATTTGACGTGAGTAGCGGTTAGTCTGTTTGGATAAATTGGAAAATTGGAAGTTACTGAATCAGTATGTGTCAACCAGTCAGCGTTCGTTTGCATTTTCCAGCCGTTGTATTACATAATAAATCGCGGCAGTTTGGATCAGACCCATATATTGGCTGCTTATTGTGAATGTTATAATGCTAATAACACAGCTATCTCGGTAGAAAATTGTGTTCGCCAACGTTTCGGTTACCGTGGATAGCCTTTATGAAGGCATGTTTAGCAATCAAATGACTCCGAGGAAAGTCAACGGATGTTTCGTCTTGTGTGTGTGTGTGTAGGTGCATTCGTCTAATGGGCTGAATTATTCGTTGTCTGTCATACTAACGCCCATAATCTGATGGGGTCAAGTGGCACCGTGACTTTTTGTCGTGATTACCTGTTAGGGATGTTAGGGTAGTCCAAATGCTCTCAATTTTGTCGTTTCTGTTGACGCATGCACAGTGGGTGCTAATGACCAAATATGGTGTAACCTTCGGTTTTGGTGTGAAGAGCGATCGCTGAGTCTCTTTCTAGTTTTGCTAGAGTTGCTTTGTCCGTAGGCCGGTATTTTTCTTTTCTCTTATGTTCTGTTATTCTTGTTTTCGGCTGTCTACGAGCAATTCTTCACAAATGATTTTGTGAATGCTGTTATTTTTATGTTGCAGTTCGACCTCTTCTTGGGAGTCGTGACACAGTAAGGCAAGTCCACCCAGTGGGCGTTAGCCCGGTGGAGTAGCGCATTGCACATATGAAGTTTGTCACATCTGTCACCACAATGCAGAAATTTTATGCAGTATGCCATATAAGAGACTTTTTCTGGACCCAGTGTCTTTGCAATGTCTCAAAAATTGGATTTCTAAACAGGGTAATGACGCCAATAAGTATAAACATGATATTATTTTTGAACACTAGGAAAACTACGTAGTTGACTAAAAATATGAAACTGGTGTGAAAAAGTGAATGACCACGTACAGGTAGATCATAATGAAAAATACCTAGTTAGGTACTGGCCCTTGATACGTCATCAACCTATTTACACACCGCCGATGTCTACCGCTGGCAAGAAATTTGAACAAACGATTCTCGTTGGCACCCTAAATATGCCGTCTGCAAATGATACATTTCCATTTGCACAGACACACATATACGCTCCATAACATTTGATTCTTCATTGTGCGCGGGTCGATCCATTTACTATACACCAAAAATAGCGAAACAGATCAGTTGTGATTCCAACTACGCATGTGTGAGGCAGCTCAAATTGGGTAAATAAATGTTTGTTCATTGTACACGCACATCTCTCTCTCTCTGACCAATTCTACGTAGTTCGAAAAACTTGTGGAAAGTGATATAAAGTGTTATAAAACTCTGATTTATTTTTGTTTACGGAAACAGCTAAACGGTTTGGCTTTGATCCACTCATGTGTGTGTTGAAACGCTCACGTTTCAACGGTTGCGCACATGAGAGTGATTGTGCACGTCATTAGGAAACTCATGTTTTTTGGTCTTTCAACACGGTGTGCACATACAAATCCGACAAAAGCAGTTCAACACCAAAGATGACCTAGAGGGTTAGATGTGAACCATTTATGCGATTTCACATTCCTTAACACCGATACCAACTATGACAGGGAAATGAGAAGTTCCGATAACATTTATGGCAACTTGCTTCTAATCAATAAACTCTTGTTTTATATAGAAGAACCATGGAGACTGCTGGATGTGAATGATGATACTGTATACCACGCCCGTACCATTGGATTGAAAATTCTCTGCATCCCCGGTACAGAAAAGAGTGTACACCAAGCAGGTTGATTACGCAACGGAAGTAGATAGATAGATAGATAGATAGATAGATAGATAGATAGATAGACACCGACAGATCGCTATATAGATAGATAGATAGATAGATAGATAGATAGATAGATAGATAGATAGATAGATAGATACTAGATAGATAGATAGATAGATAGATAGATAGATAGATAGATAGATAGATAGATAGATAAAAAGATAGATAGATAGATAGATAGATAGATAGATAGATAGATAGATAGATAGATAGATAAATGAAAACGAAAGCAGGAGGAATGCTCGCGTGATTGAAGTCAGCAGCGAGCTAGTAAAGATCTTCATCTAATAATGGAACTAAAGACATGATATAAAAATCGAAGAAAGCAGAGATTTCAGTCTGAGATCACAAAAGAAACATATACACATGAGCAATGATGGTACTTATTGATGGGAGAATTTGGGATGACAAGGAATGGATAAAGTCAATGTATTTTTCCAGAATAATGGAATATCAATTGTGACTTACCGGACCAAGAAAAATGGATATAAGTTACCACAACAACTCCAGTCCTATCCTACTTCGTTGTTTATCCTGTCGGTAGCACGCGAAGCCATATGTTCGCACGAGCGTGTCCTTAACGTTTCAATTTAACCAGGTTTCTTGTAAACATACAACACTTGTGTTGGAAGTAATGCGTTTATTCACAATATAGGTAGAGTCCGAGATCTCGAAAAATGAGCCAACGTTAGTTCTGACCAATGATTGTACTGTCATCTTAGCAGCTTGCCTGCCATTTTTTATCCAACCACATCCATGAGTCTCACCAAACAAAGCATTTTTGGAAAGCACCGGGGTAACTATTAATCTGACCATGTCTTGACGAAAATATTTGCAGATCATAGGCGTGCTTTTCGTTCTGATGGGATAAATCAAACACAATAAAATCAAACGTGACGAACACGAAAGTATAACGCCGCCAAACAAACGACCCGCGACATCAGAAGTCATTTCAAAAGCGTTCATCTGATGGCGATCAGTGAGCATAGCATGCCCACTTTTGTCCGGTGTTTTCTCAACGGGAAGCCAACGTGAGAAACTCCACCACAGTTGATTTTGTTATGCTTCCTTTTTGGGTTACGCAGTGTGAACAAGACAACAGGAAATATGACCGAGTTCTAACCAAAGTCCATCGGGCCATTTTATCATTACGTAAGCTGCGAGAGCGAATTTCTATAGCCCCTTTAGGTAGACTCATCACAGGTTGTTTAAATTGCATACAACCTCTGCTGTTACTCAATTGAACCATTGCTTTTGGAAAACAAAGATTATCAACTTATGGATAATAACGAAGGTCAAAATAAGATTTGGAGTTGATGAAAATGGATGATGATGATGATGATGACAATGATGATGATGGCGACGATGATGATGATGATGGCGAAGATTATGAACCGATGAACAACTCATTTCGCTTCCGGAGACGAAAGAACACTTTTTGAGAACATGGTCAATGAAACCATTTCTGCAAACGGGGAGTTTCCTACTAGCGCATTTGTACAACCCACTTATCTCCCCGCATTATTCTCTATCTGTGTACCTTTTACACAGAAAACGACGCATTTTTTTCACCCTAATCGCTTGGTTATCGTAGGTCTTCTCTCTTCGTCGTCTTGACCGCGGAGCTTACTGTTGAGGTTGATAAAACTGGAACTAACATTTTTACAGTCCCATTTCTGTAGCACTTATCCTATCAGCGAACAGCCCAAGGACTGTGGCGGATCCAATCAGAAAACGCGTTGGATATATGAAAAGTTAGCGGTGTATGTGCTGGTTTTTCCTCTCACTTTGGACACTCCTGTTGTAATACAATTCACGCCATCCCTTGTCACCTAATTTATTTTGCGTTGTAGGATTTTCTGTTTTCTCGTTTCAAGTCTTTCTGGGCTATCGAGAAGTTATTCAGTATCATATCGTAGCGCATCGATCAGCTACAATGAGCTACTTATGAGCCACATCGGCTACATTTGTCATTCAAAAGTA